AATTATTAAATACACATTAAATTATAAGAAGATTTCTTAAGTCACTTTTTAGCTGACTAGTAATTTATTGAATACATATTACCAACCTTTAGTTATTTATCTTATCTCTTCTACCTGACTTGAAACACGTGTTGAGCACGTAAGAAGATATAATATATTTGAAATCCAAGTAAAACGGTAACAATATTTTTTTTGTAATTATTTGTAAAGGAGAAAATAAGAAGTATTTAATTATATTATTAAAAATGAAACTTGAATTTTTTTGAGAAATTGATATTATTTTTTGTGTGTAAGATATAAGAAGATTTGTTATATATTTGTTTTTGGATTTTTATAAAGAAATTTTTGGTTTTTATTATTTTTTGAAAAAAAATAAAAATAAAGATTAAAATTTTGAGATAAAATTTATGATATTGGTATTAATGTGAAGCTTGAGAATAAAGAAACAAGTTTTGAATATTTTATTAATGAGAAAATTACTATAATTATGATATTGTTTGATCTTTTTGCTTCTTGAAATGTATTTTAGTTCATGGATAAGAAATTTATATGAACAAAATATGAAAAGAAATTTTTATAATTATTATTATTATTATTATTATTATTATTATTATTATTATTATTATTAATGTTGCTTTCAAGTAAATTTTGAAGTTGTTATAATATTATTGACTGAAAAAGAGACACCAGACAAATCTTGAAAATTATTAATTGATATAATAAAGATAACTAAAATCTTTTTATAATTAACAAGTTAATTATTATGATTATTCTGATATTGTTGATTGTTATTAAAGATGTTTCTTTTATATAAACAATCATTAACATAGTGTTCATATTCTTTACAACTATAACATTGAACTTGATAATTTTGTTCTTGATCTGATTTATTATAACTTTCATAATATTTACAATTTTTTGCAAAATGATTTGTTCTTTCATATACATAACAGGTTTTTTGATTTGATGATTGTTGATCATAATACCAATTGGTATAATTATCACAATTCCAATTAGTATTTTTGGTAATTTGTGCTGTTAACTTCTTGACTTATTTTGCTAAATCAGCAATGGCTTTATTTAATTCTAATAAAAATTATGCAAACAAAAAAAGCAAGCCGTAAAAGTCATTCTTACGGTCTAGTTTGTTAAATTATCAAACTTGAAAGTTCAAAGTTACATTAAATTGTTTGATGAGTATAAATGTTATGCGTCATACCATGACAACAACTTAACACCTATCAAAATGTTACTAATATGATATCCTGTAATCTTCACGGTTTTGTTCCCGATAATATAGAATCATCTGAATCCAATGAAAATGCCAATGGCCAAATATATAGACAATACAAATACCCGAGTGCACCAAATTTGCTTTCTTTCTCGTAACATCTTTCACACTATGCGATGTTTCTACAATCTGCAAGGAAAAACAAAGCTTAAAAGGCACCAAGTTCTCTGTTTTAAAAGGAATCTCAACATTCATATGCTAAACAGTCTATGGAAGACGCTCGGAACATAAAGAACTTTTGTGTGCCTTCAGACATGCATATGATTCAGTAAGCTGGCATATGTGGCGGATTTTCATTTTCTCGAGAAGCCGCGTGCGTTAGATCCACTTTGCATTGGAACATCAGTAAGAATAATACTCTCTCAGCTTGTGAAAAACTCGGTCTGCAACTAGACCGAAATCGCCGTCATCTATGCTATGATCTTGGTTGACATGTTGCAATTCCTCGAATGCCCGCCTCGTAACAAGCAGGATGATCTGAAAAACTGGATGGCCATTTTTGGTTGGAGGTTGCAGGCAGATATTTGGAAGGAAGACGCGACGTTGATTTGAAGTCGTTAAAAATTATAATAAAGACTGGTTAATCCACAGGAAATTATAAAGCCACCGAAAGTGCTAGTACGCGAAGCAGATGAAGGAACACAACTAGGCGTTAACTATCGTCCCAAAAATGCGTGTGGTTGAGCAAACTTATAGGACCGATGGTTGTGGCACGAACACATTGCCTGTGTTCGCGCATGAGCCGAAACGAAATAAATCACACAATTTCGGTATATTCCTGCTAGAAACAGTTCTTACCTCGCGCCTCTAGAAGACATACACTGGATGTTCTCATTTGCCCGTAACGTTCCCGTTAGGTGTTTCCGTTTGGCAATTGTTATCGTTAAGCTAACGGGTAATCCACATTACGTAAAGGAATACGGTAACGGGGCAAATGAGAACACCCACTGTAATCGGGTTCGTCTTTGAAGTTACATTTTCTACAAATCATGTGATTCACATCCAATCAGATCGTTAACAAAAATATCCCACAATTTTATATTTGAAGATCTACATATTATATAAATATCAAAGTTCAGTTAACATAGTTGTCCTCTTCGGAGTGACACTTATTAAAATTGGAACGATACAGAGAAGATTAGCATGGCCCCTGCACAAGGATGACA